AGTCCCGGAGATATTCGTGTTGGGCCTGTGGATGGATTTCGAATCAGGAGTATGCAAGCCAACCACTCCGACTCACAGGCCCAGAGTTTTTCTTGCTTTCACCAAACGGCATTCCCATGTCGTCCACATTGTCAAATCCGAACAATGTCTGCCCTGTATCCTCATCAGGTTCCGATGCTGGAGCTGAAGTCTTTGCCTTCTTTGCTTTTGCAGCCACTGGTTCTTCATCCCGAAGCCGTGACATTGGAGCAGGTTTGCGTGATCCCTCTGCCAGGGGTGTCTCTAAGGACGCATGTTCGACGGCGGTATTGACCCACTGTCCTTCCTTATTCTTGACCTTTTCCTCTCTCCACTCGTACCTCTTTACAGGTGCTGGTGCTTTCCGGGTTGGCTGTCCAAACAGCATAGCTGGAACAGACTGAAGATCGAAGAGGAGCAGCTCGTCGGAATGAGCAACAATCAGGTATCGGATCGATAAGATATTGGAACTAATTATGGTAATTCCACCATCCTTGCCGTAGCCGGGTAATGGATCCGGTGTCTGGCTGGCTGTTGTCTAGTTCCAACAATGATCCGGCGTCAATATCACTCCTTGACAGCTTAGAGTTTTGCTTCGGAAGCTATGATCAAGATCTGACAACATCTGAGCCACATCACAGGATCAAACGGGTTCAGCCAGACGTGATTTACTTCTCCGATGACTCGGAGGACTACGTCAGGGCTTTTTTAGGCGGTTAAGATCTGTTGCTCTTTAGTAAACCTTATCTAAACCGTATCTCTGGCACCGTCCTCACCATCTAGTGTAATAAAAAACTAATCGGACATGTGGCTGGTTTGTGCTCAACTGAACAACTGGACACATCAACATGTCAAGGCTGCATCCATTAACCGGACACTTGCTAGGCCAGATGAGGACATTACATATCAGTCAACACCAAAACGGGGCAGAGAAACATGTGCCGCTCTCGGAAGAGAAATATAGAAGGATATCCATCCAAGGGTTGGTGGTTGACAAATGCGTCTAGCCCACGTTGTCCATGGCTCCACCGGATGTTGCTATAGTCGTGTCACTTCTGATCCGAAATGTGTCCGGCAACCGAACACTGCACCAGTGAATATCTGTTCAGGGAGGGCGGAGAACTTTTGCGATATTAACCAGCTTGAGCTCGGTCAAACCTATCGCCCTGTCTCATTTTTGACCTCCCCTCATGGCAACCTCTGTATCTTCCTCAGCCCCTTTGGCAGAGCTTTTGCTCACCGCCGAAGTCAAAAAGTTTCTCGAAGTTTGGCGAGCGGAATGGAACATGTTGGCGGAAAGCGACTACTTGGTCCGTCGCAAGAACCTCGATGACTTGGCTTGGAAGCTCCAGAGGCATCTTATTGCCATGTTTCCTTACCTGCAGGGAGGACTGACTGATGTAGAGGACGCTATTGTAGTAAGTCCGACTCCGCTTTTGTGATGGACTGGCTTTCACCACTTGACATCTAGGTTGTCTGGAAGTACTTTGATCCGGACGGAAAGCTACTTGAGGTCAGTGCCGAGGAGCAGGCGGCACTGCCTAAGCTCAACTCATTTCCGTGGAGCCATTGGACGGACTGGGGGACCTTCCTTCAAGAAGAAAAGGCTGCGATTATCAATGCCATGCCGGAGTGTTGGGAGAAGTACAAGGCGGACAAGGTTGCAAAGGGTGAGGAGCTAACTATAGATGACCAGCGACCGTGTCCGGAGGATGGCACAGATGCTCGATGGCTGGGACACTTGAGCCGGACACGCTCCCGGATGTGGGCAGCGATGTCTAAGGACGAGAAGGCCAAGTACAAGAAAGTGGCTGAGGATTGGAACCGGAACAGTGCCCCCCGACGGATTCAGAAATAGTATGTGACGACGAGTTCACCAGAGCCTCGTGTCTGACGTTGGTGCAGTGCTTCCCAGAAATGGTTTTCGGAATACATGCGGCGGCATAAACTCTTTTGTCTTTGTCAGTTCGGAGCAGAGATGGTGACGTGGGCCGGATGGGTGAACAATGAGGGTGTTTGCAGGGTTGCGCAGTACGTGGCTGTGAAACACCGTATCCGGACAGTTCTGACCTCGCGAAGCTGTGGGCAAGCATACGGTGGTGATCCGCACTCATTCCATCGTCGCGATCCGGTGGCCTTCGATACCGACCGGAAGAGGTGCAGGAAAGGTGAAGTGCCTTGGCCCAAACGGTTCGTGTGGCATGTCGAACAGCGTTTCCTGGGTGCGTGATGAGCGTGGCGACCATCTGTACTTACTGACCTCATCCGGTAGGAGAGGACCCTAATGAGGAAATGCCTCCTATTTGAGATGCCAAGTCAACTCGCGCGTCCGACCGTGTGGAGCTCGATCTTACAGAGAAAGGGTATCCGAAGCTGCCGGATAACTGTCTTTCAATGAAGCACGTCCTCACCAAGGATATGATGCGTGCGTTCTTGGAGATCATTTATGTTCTTGACACCGGATCGACAAAGCCAGTCCCCTGGAAGAGCCTCACCCCAGTCATCCAGTCCGATGGTATACTTGCACCACTGCCTTACCACCTGCATCGGCCACTGCCGGATGGATTGATTCTTCGCGATCCGAGCAAGATGAACATCTCCGACATTCGGACCATCTTTGGCGAATGGCTGAAGCACCAGGGTGATGAGGAGGATCCAATTCACTTCACCCGTCCTCTTTCTTCAGGATCAACCCCCACCCCCACTACATCATCTGCTCCGGCTCAGGTTGCCCCTTCTTCTCACTCTACCACCACACCTGTTAACTCCACTGCGGCGGTGACTCAGGATGCACCATCTGGAAGTCGCAGCTCCGACACTAGCCCCTCTTCTGAGGATTCTCCCTCTGCTGAGACTGCCCAGTCCGCTGCTGAGACAACATTACCCGTTGCCGAGCCGGTTGGTGAGTCGATGCCAACTATTTCTTCGGCGGATTGTAACCTATCCGGACCAGGTGCACCATCGGCCACTAGCCCGTTGTTAGACACCCAGGCAGAATCTGCCTCAGGACGACTGTGGCCATCCGACCCGAGCCAGCTGACTAGCCAGCCAGAGGTGTCGGATGCCAACAAGGAGAACTGTCACGGAGAGGGGCCGGATAGAAGCAAAGAGAATCCTGCAGTTGAGGCTCCAGGTGTTCAAACACGGAAGAGACGGCATGACGTAGTGACGGAACCCAGGAAGACTTGCAAGATCGGCGGACACGACAACTCACCTAGAGCTAGCCGCCGAATTAAGGGGCTTCAACCAGGGGGTGCCAAGCGAGACGGCCTTAGAAAGAACGTCGGAAGGCCGGATCGTCGTCGTAACTGATCGCCGGGTCGGATGAAGGGCAGCAAATGCCTATTAGTCACATTCACTCATCTATCTCTTTATATACACCCGAATCAATGTACAGTCTATACTTCATGAACGTGAATAAGATGGTGGTGGCGAACCCAGCCAGCGGTGCACATTCTCCCGCATATAAAATACACAACACACCCTATTCCCATGTACTTTTCGAACTTGGTGCCGAAGTACCTTGCCGCACAGTGCAACCAGACATCCGGGCGCATAGGAAAATTGTATGCCAATGCCGGGCATGTCCAGAACACCGTTGTCGTAGTCGCCAACTGTGTATAGAATATCAAACCAGGGAAGACATCCGAGGCAATCCTTGTGTGGGGCAGTGATCCGATTGGATATTACCCCAATTGCAGTGAAGACCGACTCCCACAGGCTGGCACATTCTGCCATGGTGTGAAACCGTTTGCACACTTTAAGTGCTGTCCGTCCGGCGCGATATTGAGTCGGATGGGTCAGAGCAAGCACAAGATTGATCAGTGCAAAAAACATCTTTGACTTTCCGACAAAGGACTGAATGTCCGGACGCGTTCTGAAGTTGAGACTTGGGTGTGGAGGGGTGCCCAAATAGTCACCTTGTGCACCGGACTACAAGCAGAATATGGGTTGGGACATGCGTGAACAGCAAAGGAACTTACACCCTGCCCACGTCCATACCATCCTACTGAAATATCCATGCATCCAGGTGGGAGAACTTGCACTCTGCCATCGACTGGATCCCAGAAATGAGGTCGACCTTTCCTCCAGTTATTGTCGGATGCTTGCATTGGCTTAATCATCTCATTGTGTAGGAGTGGGAGTGTATCTTTGCGGTATTGCTAGATTTGCATATAGTTTGAATTAATTGGAGCCGGAAGGGACGACTCACATCATGGCGGAGTAAACTGATTGCCCTTGGCAAATGATATGCCAAAGTCTGGCCATCCGCATCCACCAGTTTGCATGCCCGGATGGCCCTGATCGGATGCCCTTGGGCATGCCTCTCCAGTGCGTCCGGCACGTCCCATACATTGTCACCGCAGTTTGTAGTCACCGTTGGACGCATCCGAGATTCAATCTGATCTTGGTCCGGCCCCAGACCATCTCGTCTTCCTCCCGCATGTGCCATTGCTTCCATATATTGCGACGCAGTCCACGAAAGCCGGACTGATTGAATGCACCATCAGATCTCTCCAATCCGGCTTGGCAAGCCAACGTACCAATCCGACTATTGGCATCTCTCACCTCGTCTGCCACTCGTTGACATTCAAACTTGTCCATGGCCGATAAGCTGGGTACTCTTGGTCCATGGTCCGGATTGTCGAAGTAGCTTTGACCATAATTCACAACTGCATCTGCAAAGGAGAGATTGTCTTCAGATGCTAGGAAGGCCTGTATGGCATCCGGCGTCATAGGCTCGGCTGACATAACGCAGCTGGGCGTGAAGGGGCAAGTGGAATTGACCAACGGATTGATTGGGACTGTGCCATTTATAGTGTTTGCACCACGTGGACCACGTGTTAATTCACGGATGGCGTATAAACAGATGCAAACCCTGTACCCATTGTTCTTGCCTTCCTTGTCTCCCACCACCACTCATCATCGTCAATGGCAGAACCCGACAATGTACCCGACCTCCCCACCTATCTCCCGGAAGTTCTTCGTCGGGAGGGATGGCAAAACGACTCTGCCTGTATGATCGCCATCCTCCAGGTCCTCGAGGCGCGTGTTCGGCGAGCTGCCTCAATCTGGGCGCCAAACCCATCAATGACGTGGAGTACTGATTGGCTAGTGGAAACGGTGAGTCACCTGTCATTTTCCGAGCTATTTCAGTAAACATACCTGCCAGACGGCTGCACAACCCGTTGTCGAGTACATCGCTGGTCTGGACATCGACGTTCCGGACACAGTCGTCAGGTCGGTTGACACCGACAAGTGCAATCCATGGTCGCCTGGGTTCCCCTTCACCTCGACCTACCTTGAGCAGAACCCGCCCGTTTTTCCGGAACCTGCCAGCTATGGCACCAATTGTTGGTGGGACGACTACGACGATGCAGAAGGCACAAGCAATGACGGACCCGCCGGATCCGATGACGAGGAAGACCCACCCGTGCCTGCACCCCCCACACGCAAGCGTGGGCGGTCGGATGCCTCCTCCGACGCGGACCAGCCACCAGATACGCCTTCGAACGCTGCAAATAAGGGGAAGGGAAAGGGAAAAGAGCAGGCCGATCCGGCACACGGTACGTCGTATTTCCTTCCGTTTGATGTTCTGGCCACTCAGTTTCCCAGGTCGACGCACACGGGCAAGTGCCCGTGCTGCCAACGCTTCCACTGAGGCCGGACCGAGCCATCAAGGACAAGTGTCTGGATCCGGATCCGATCACGTTGGCACAAACCAGATGCGCGTTGACTCGGGCCGACTGCTGGATCTCCAGCGCGACGTTGAATTATTGCAAGTTCGCATTACCACCATCGCCGACCGGATGGACACCCTGGTGACGCAGTCGCAGTTCGACTTTGTGACCAGCGAAATGGCCAACCTGCGGGCCAGCTTGCAGGCCATGATCAATCAGGATGAAGGCGAGGACACAGCGATGGCGGGCCCGGATGCTGCCGGACAGAACTGACCTTGTCGCTGAATTACTTTTTTTTGTGATATATCTTGATGATCTGCAATCGAATAGAATACTTTGTCATTCCTCAAATGAGATTTTAACATGTCAAATGTAATGAATTAAGCCGGTCCGGTCATTTGGAGCATATCGGATCGTAGAATATCATACACAGACGAATTCAACATACCCATAGAACAGGTACACATCATTGATGCTCTGATCCGGCGTGTGGTCGACGGATCCGGCAAGTGGTGGAAACACCACCTCTCTCTGTCACAACATCCTTGGGGGTCATGTCTTGCACCATGTGGGAGACGGGATGAGGGAACTAAGACGAAAGGGCTGAGAAAAAGCGCTGGAAAAGAAGAGGGAAAATAATGAGTGACGTGCAAATGACAAGGACTATAAAACATTTTTCGTATGATCCATTGACACCTGAATTGCGGCGACCCGGGTATTGACCGGGACCCCCCGAAGAGTTGATGGCAATGTCCTGGATTAGGACTCAGAAGAGGCACTGGTGTCCGACCGTGAGCAAGTAGCATTGATAATGACGATTGGGCCAGTTGGCCTATATCAGATCCGGATACCACTACCTCCCAAGATCGACGCCTCGGTCACCATGATGCAAGTTGGGGAAAAGCCTGATGTCACCTACTCCGACACCGGAGGGTGCAAGGAGCAAATAGAGAAGCTGCGTGATATGGTGGAGACGCCACTATATGATAGTGTAGGTTCTTTATGCACATGGTGCAGGACATGATCCCCAAGGATGTCCGGTCAGCAGATGGGCCAGACACCCAAGGATGCCGGAGGCTGCAAGGAGCAAAAAGAGAAGCTCCAAAAGGCGTCTTGCTTTTTGGACCGCCTGGCACCGGCAAGACCATTTGCGCTCGCACCGTAGCAAACCGAACAGACGCCACTTTTATCCGTGTCATTGGCTCTGAGCTTGCCCAGAAATAAGTAGGAGAGGGTACCAGGATGGTTTGGGAGCTGTTTGAGATGGCACGTAGTAAGAAGGCGCGCATCATCTTTTTCGATGATTGCCACCGGCACAGAGCCCGCCCAGGAATGTCCTGGAGTAGGACTCAGAAGAGGCATTGGTGTCCAACAGTGAGCAAGTAGCATTGATGATGGCGGATGGGCCAGGTGGCCTATATCAGATCCGGATACCACTACCTCCCAAGATCGACGCCTCGGTCACCATGATGCAAGTTGGGGAAAAGCCCGATGTTACCTACTCGGACGTGGAGGGAAGCTGTGTAAAATGGTGGGGACACCTCTTCTCTCTGTCACAAATTCCAGGATTTCTACTATTTTTCCGCATTTAGGGTACGGTTGTCAGAGCTTAGAAGAGGCACTGGTGTCCGACAGTGAGCAAGTAGCATTGATAATGACGATTGGGCCAGGTGGCCTATATCGGATCCGGATACCACTACCTCCCAAGATCGACGCTTTGGTCACCATGATGCAAGTTGGGAAAAAGCCTGATGTCACCTACTCCGACGCCGGAGGGTGCAAGGAGCAAATAGAGAAGCTGTGTGAAGTTCCGGCGATGGGGCGATATACCTCCCCTACAATGCGACCCTCTCTTTGCCTTAAAATTGCAAGCAACCATATTATCTTCCACAACCCACACTCATCCGACGGACCGCTTGCTGCACTGATGCCCTTCCCCTACTATCTCATGCACCCGTTTACGTCTATATTGTATAAGATTTACAAGTGTAATTAAGATGCATCCGATCTGGCAGATTGCCCGCTCGACTGACATTCCTCCACTACAATCCGAGGCACTTCTGCTTTCAAATTAGTTACATTCAATGAGTATTATGCCATACTCACCATTCCAACGGACCCTCCGCAGCATCGATGGCTCTCATTCCATGTAGAGGCTTCCATTCACTTCACCTTTTGTATAACATTGATGAATTTGTATGCCTTAGATGGCATCCGGCGGACCTTCCGCTGTCCCAATATATCTCCACTACAATTTGATGCCCTCTTCGCTTCAACGGTGATAGCAATCCCATTATCTGACATTACACTTATCCATCCGGCGGATCTTCCGCTCCATCGATGACTCTCAACTACAATCCGATGTGTTGATTGGTTTTGTTTTGGTATTGAATTCACTCCTTTGAGCGTGGTCCATTCCATCCAGCGGGCTCTCCGCTGGTGTGATGTACCTGAACTACAATGCTACCTTCTCAATGCTTTAGAATTAGAAGCAAGCACAGCAGCTTCCCTCAAACTCAGCCATCCGGCGGATCCTCCGCTGCACTGAGGAGCCTCCACTATGATCCGACACACCCATTTGCTTCATTGCCGTATACCATCTCCTAATGTAAGTGGGGTATCATCTCATCCAGCGGTCTGTCCGCTCATGCGAGGTCCCTCGACTACAATGCGGCCCTCTCTTTGCTTCAAGTCAGAAGCAAGGGCAGCATGTTCCTTCACACTCAGCCATCCGGCTGACCCTCCGCTGTCCCGAC